GCCTTTAATTCCAGCGACTCAGGAGGCTGAGGCAGGAGGATGGCAAGTTCAAGGCCAGCCTGGGCAAATTAGTGAGATCTGTCTCAAAACAAAAAATAAAATTGGCCAGAGATGTAGTTCAGTGGTAGAGACTGTTTAGCATGCTGGAGCTCTGGGTTCAATCCCCAGTATTGTTTAAAATAAATAAATAATAGACATATGATGGACATATGAAAGGCAATTTTCAGGTACTACTTTAGGAGATTGACTCTGGGGTACAGGGAAATCTGGAGGGTAGAGTTCAGTTGGTGTGACCATAGGAAATGTGCTCATGAAAAAAAAAAAAAAAATGGAAGCAGAGAGAGAGTGCTGTGCTGAACAAAGGCATGCATTCACCAGAGGAAGAGGAAATGGGGTGCACTGACCAGACTGGGAGAGCACCTAAAGGGGAATATGGTTCCAAAGAAGGAAGGAAACTGAGAAATGAAAATATTGTGGATGGCAAAAGAACTAAAAAAGATATTAAAGGGGGGAAAGGGAGCCATGACGCTCGCCTATAACCACAAGCACTCCTGAGGCTGATGTAGGAGAAGCACAAGTTTGAGGCCAATCCGGGAAACTCAGTGAAATCCTGTATCAGAATTACAGATAAAAAGAGCTGGGATTTAATTCCAGTGAAAGCCCCTGGGTTCCACCCCTAATATAGGGAAAAAAAAAAAAAGGTGGGGGGAGGCAGGTAGGTATGCATGTATGCTCAAGAACTACAGATCACTCACCCCCAGAGTGGTGTGTTCATACATTTAGGGGATACAGGAAGCAAATACAACTTCAGATAGGAAAATAAGTCTCCACCAGGTAGTTGGGGAACTCATAAAAAGGTGCAACCCAAGGATATAAGTGAAAGTGAATTCCCTTATTTGAGAAACTGGAAATATGTACCAATAAACATCAGGTTTTAGAGGGTTGAGAAAAGGATGCCCCCCCCAATTTAAGAAATTCTGGAAACGGGCCAGCCAGCAGGTGGCACAAACCTGTAAGTAATCCCAGAGGCTCCCTTGGCTGAAGCAGGAGGATTGCAAGTTTGAGGACAGGCTCAACAATTAAGCAAGACCCTTAGCAATTTAACCAGACCCCTTTTTAAAATAAAAAATAAGGGGGCTGGGGATGTGGCTCAAGCGGTAGCGCGCTCGCCTGGCATGCGTGCAGCCTGGGTTCGATCCTCAGCACCACATACCAACAAAGATGCTGTGTCCGCCGAGAACTTAAATAAATAAATATTTTTAAAAAATAAATAAATAAAAAATAAAAAATAAAATAAAAAATAAAACTGCTGGGGATGTGGCTCTTGTGGTAAAGTGCCATTGGGTTCAATTCTCAGTACAAAAAAAAAAATGAAATTCTGGAAACATATTGTCAGATTGGGTTCCTGGGAAGGTGATTTTTTTTCCTTAGAGGAGTTGTGGGACACAAAAAAGTCTCCCCAGCGGGCCCAATGGCCCAAATCTGTAATCCCAGTGACTCCAAAGGCTGAGGCAGGAGGACAGCAAATTTGAGGCCAGCCTCAGAAATTTAGCAAGACCCTGTCTCAAAAAATAAAAAGATCAGTGGTAAAGCACCTAGGGTTCAATCCCCAGTATCAAAATAAAAAAGAAAGTATCCCAAAACTTTGGTTTCAGGACCTCAGATTTGAAGAACCTGTTAAAGGGATAAACCCCCAAATTGGAAAGGGTGAACTCAGATTGAAGGCTTGAAAAAGGGAGGGCTCCCAGTTTGGGGGGCAAGGAGTACGCCCTCTGTATGGGGGAATTTAAAAACAGATAAAATCCCAGGGCTGGTGTTCAATAAAAGGGGTGGGCCGCCCAGATTTTCAAAACTATAAAGGGGACACTCCCATGATAGGGGTCTTGAAAAAAGGGGTGTGCTCCCAGAATGGGATTAAAGAGGTAATAAAAGAAAGCGTATTGCTAAAGCACAAGGCAACAGCAGGGGCTGGTGGATGGGGCGCTCAGGGATGATCCAGCTCAGGTTCGGCCCTAGCTCTCACCCCCTCACCACACATACACACCCCCAATACGGCCCGCTCAGTGCCCGGGGCCAGCACCCCACAGCCCAGCCCCCTCGGGCAGCGCTCATTGGCCGAGGTCCGCATCACTCCCGCGGGCAACTCCGGGGATTGGGCGCCGCTCGCACGCCCGCCACGCTCTCATCAGCGGTCCCTAGGCCTCCCTCCGGGCTGGGGCGAACGGGGCCGGGCGGGGAGTGGGGCCAGGCAGGGGACCGGAGCAGCGGTGGCGTCTTTCACCGTTCCCGCCCGCGCGGCGCGCGCGCGCCGCGGGCCCGACCCGACCCAGCCTCGGCCACCGGCTTTCTCTTGCCGCGCCTCGCCGCGAGCTCACCTCACGGCTCCGCTCCTGCTGCGCCGCTCCAGGACCAACCGACAGAAGGACTCTGCGTGCTGCGCACCACGTGACCCCAGGGACGCGCCCAGCGTATCCCCCGCCCCCCACACACACACGCACCATCGCCACCACCGAGTGACGCAGCGCCCCAGCTGCCCCGCCCTTAGCCCCGCCCCACCGGATCACCGGGGCGACGGCTCCAGCAGACCACGCCCACGGCCTTGACGCGCGGGAACCAGGCCTGCCCTCCGTCGGGAACACGAAGTCCCCACTCAGGTTTAACCACTAAGACCACGCAAAGCCCGGGACCGGATACTACCCTTCTCCTGTTAATTTTGCCTCTTGTTTCTTTCCATAGCCCTGCCACCACTCCGGTCTAGGCTTCACCTCTCTCCAAGTTAGCCATGATCTCCACCCTATTATTCTTTCCCCTTTCAATCCATACTTCACGCGGTGAGAGCTTTTCAAAATGTCATCCTCTGTTCCAAATCTGTTTCCCTCTCTCCTCCAGATTAAGATCTAAGTCTTCACCTAGATTTGCCAGGCTCTTCAAAGTCTGAACTTAACCTGCCTCTCATTCTGACACATCCAGCTGCCCTGAATTCTCAGTGTCTTTCAAGTCCTCAAAGGAGTCAGTTTCCTTCTTACCTCAGGACCCTTGCTCCCATCCCTCCACTTTGTGTCATTAACTTCTAGGAAAGACGGTACCAATTGCTGTTGAAAAAAAAAAAAAAAACGGAGCTGTATTTTGTCTCCAAAGTCCAAGTTGCATGGACTACAAAAGATGCTGAGGTGTTTTCCCAACGGGACTTGGCAAGTACCAAGGAGAAATACTAAAATTAGTGATTTATGGGAGCAATAACGACTGTATTTTACACTGAAAAGAGAGGGTAGCCAGATCGCACTTCTTAAAATATAAATCTAATCATGTCACTGCCCTACTTAAGAACAAACCATCAATCAGTTTCTCCATCTGCAGCCTACCCCCTGACTCATCCTCTGACCACACTGACTTTCAATCAGGTTTTTTTTTTTTTTT